GATCCGCATAATTACCAAATTGCTCGCCAAAAGACTAAAACACTCTTCTTCCCAAAATAATACAAGCGGATCAAACTGGATTTATTAGAGACAGGTACTCTTCTGATAACATCCGCCGTCTTTTTGATATTATAGATCAAGTAAACACACAGAAGGAAGAGCCATGTCCTGCTGGCATCACTGGGTGCTGGAGTGGAGCTTTCTGTTCTCAGTCTTAGAAAAGTTAAACATGGGCCCAAACTTTATTAAATGGATAAAGTCCCTATATTCTCATCCAAATGCCATGGTGACTACTAACAGTCAGATTTCTGACAGATTCCCTTTTGGGACGTGGCACAAGACAAGGATGCTCACTGTCCCCCCCTGCTCTACTTGTTGGGGGCGGAGTTGATAAGGGGCAATCCAAGTATTATGGGAGTTTCTGCAAGCGGCCTTCAGCACAACATTTCTCTCTACGTGGATTATGTTTTTCTCCATCTATCCAACCCTGAGAAATCCCTCCCTCCCATTTTAGACACCATTGCTCAGTACCGCAAGTTTTCAGGATATAAGATACATTTTAACAAATCCATTGTTTGCCCTCTCAATCTTACACTCTCCAGCTCCATGACGACACGCTGTCCGTTCCGATGGAAGACACAGGGATTTCAATACCTTGGGATCTTTCTCCAGCTCCATGACGACACGCTGTCCGTTCCAATGGAAGACACAGGGATTTCAATACCTTGGGATCTTTCTCCAGCTCCATGACGACACGCTGTCCGTTCCAATGGAAGACACAGGGATTTCAATACCTTGGGATCTTTCTCCAGCTCCATGACGACACGCTGTCCGTTCCAATGGAAGACACAGGGATTTCAATACCTTGGGATCTTTTGTAACACAATCTGAATTAACTTTCCTTGAAAAGGCAATTCAGATTGGTGTCATCTCCCACTCCTTTATCGAATCAAGAATGATCTCCGAACCTGGATCTCCCTCCCAATTAGCTTAGTCGGAAGAATCAATGTTACCCGTATGAACATCCTACCTAGACTGAACAAATTTTTCCAGATGCTGCCATGCTATCTCCCAGTTTCTTTTTTCAAAACAACCAAAGCATCACCAAATGTATATGGGGCAATGAAAAACCTAGGATCAAGTTCTCCACTCTATGGAAACCTGAATCTAAGGGTGTTCTTGCCCTTCCCTGCCTACTGCTGGTCTGCCCAAATCCTCAACATGCTAACATGGATCACAAACAGACAAGACTCAATGTGGATTCAGATAGAGGCCCGATCCTGTGGTTCATTGCCCCTAAGCTCAATTATGTTCATTAGTAACTTTGGTGAAGTGGCCAAAAACCTTTGTGATTTACAGCACCCTACTAGCAGGGAAGGACTATAAGAAATACCTTGGCATTTCCTCCCAGATATGCTCTCACTCGCCTATAGTATGCAACACAGACTTGCCAAAAGCCCTGAGTGATGCCATCTTTGGCATACTCTAGTGATCAGGAACTTTTCAGACCCGTTTCATCAGAACACAACTACACTGAAATACTTTCAAGAGCGCTGCAGTGAATTCAATGCGCTAAGTTCCATAAAAAATAAAAAAAGATATCTTCAATTTAGATACATAATTTCCTCATTCACTTCCAAGGGGAGGTTTAGAGCTCAGCTGAATGAAGTTGAGACCCTTCTTGCTACAGCACAATCCATGAAAAGGCAACATCATCTCCCATATCTACAGACTCCTTTCTGAGAATGTGGGCTCCTCTTTTACGCCTTTGAAAAGAATCTGGGAAAAGGACCTTTGTCTGACTATCGGTGATGAGTTATGGGCGGATGTTTGCGACAGGGTATACCGCTCCTCTACTAACGTAAAAATGAAAGAATCTAATTACACATTTTTTTTTTTTTACAAATGTTATTACACCCCAGTGAGTCTCCATAGAATGAATACAGACATTTCCCCTGATTGTAAAATATGTACCTCAAAGTGGAACCTATTTACATGTATTTTGGAGATCTGTACATACTGCTGCACAGAAAATATTAGGATGTACAGTTTGATATGACCCACCCCAAGTCTCTATGTTCTTAACTCCCAGCAGGACTTTGTTCTTGATCCAGACAGAGAACATGCGTTTATGACCATCACATACTTTGCTAAGAAATGTATTCTCCTTACTGCGGGCTTCTAATTCATCTCCTACATTAAAAAATGTGGATTGGCCAGATTGTTGACTTTCTTCCTCATGAAAAGCTGACCTATGACCTCCGCAAGAGACAGCCCAGGTTTGATAGACTCTGGCATCCACTACTCAACTATATTTCACACTGGACAGAGTGAATGGGGGATGATTAGGGAAATGGGTGTATATACATGTTGTGTAAAGGTGCTGTAAAAACGAATGATTTGCTCGTTGTCTCAGCTAAGGCTGGAAATAGCTAACATGATCACAGATGGTGCTGCTGCAAATTTGTTTGTTTTGTTTTACATTTTATTTTATTATTTATGTCTGCCACATCTGTGGAATATGTTTTGTTAGTTGATTGAAAAACAAGAAAACTTAATAAAACTTTAAATAAATAAATAAATAAAAGAATAAGGCTGTAACGTAACAAAATGTGGAGAAAGTCAAGGGGTCCGAATACTTTCCCAATGTCTTATACCCTAATAAACATCTCATAATGATACTTAACCATCCCGCACTGGTCTGCAGAGCAGTGTTCAGGTAACTAATGCTTGTCTCACTGAACACATTCCAACAAAAGTCCCGACTATCGCCTGCGAGTGAACAAGGAAGTAAGAGATATCATGCCTTCACCTTAGATCACCTTAAGGTGACCTGTAGAATAACCGGACTGTCTGCTACCTCATGTATAATTTGGCTCACAATCAAATGGTGGTACAGTACTGTACGTGAGGCATTTGCCAGTCATAGAGGAAGTCATGCAGGAAGTCAACTGTGAGACCAGTTAGTTAGATCAAAGATAAAAGTCTGAGTGCCAGAGAGTCTGCTGTGAGGACCAAGTTCTGTCACATCCCAAAGGATCCTTTACCGTCACCAAACAGACCAACTGGGCAGCATTTTGACCATCAGAATATTCCACTTTGTAGGCTGAGTGCCAAATCATTTGACATGTTTGTCTGAGCAGTTCATGGTGTGTACCGCTCTCGTCCTGCTCAGTCATGGTCTGCTCTAAACCAGAGAGATATACTACAAAGAAGATTCAATGAGTAAGCCAGCTAACTTGAATAAACAACCCAAAATAACTATTGAGTTTCTGGTTCATGAAGAACTTGTGTTTTTGGTTGTTGAGACAATTAGATCAAGCCCGTTTTATTTATTTTTATTTTTTATTTAACCTTTATTTAACTAGGCAAGTCAGTTAAGAACAACTTCTTATTTACAGTGACGGCCTACACCGGCCAAACCCGGACGACGCTGGGCCAATTGTGCGCCCGCCCTATGGGACTCCCAATCACGGCCGGGTTGTGATACAGCCTGGAATCGAACCAGGGGGGTCTGTAGTGACGCCTCCAGCACTGAGATGCAGTGCCTTAGACCGCTGCGCCACTCGGGAGACAATTAGATCAAGCCCATTTCAAGATCATCTTTCTAAAAAATATATACAAAAGTTATTTAATGCAAGTTAACTTGCTAACTCATTGATTCATATGCTCCCCTCTAGGGAACATATCAGCATTACTGTGACCTGGTGTCTGGTTTCCATGTTGATCCTGCGACAGGGTAGCACTGACCTGACACAGAAAGAGTCCCGTGTCTAGAAAGGCAATAACCCTCACCCATCGACTCTGGCCCTAAAGAAACACATTACATAACAGCCACACAACGTCGATAGCGGTCTAATTGAATCAAAATTTGTCTGCACAATTATGGAAACGTGATCAGGTAATGACATCAAGATAGGTCGACCAGCGGCTCTTAAAATATGTGCTCATTTTAATTTATGCCGGACTGTTCTGTGTCCATTTGTTGTAGTTGGATAAAAAAAGGTATGTCAGCGCTGTAATTGAGGAAGCCAGACTGAACCTTATTAGATGATTTTGTTCCATATAAAACAATGGTATGGTTTTATATTTACATTTAACGTCATTTAGCAGACGCTCTTATCCAGAGCGACTTACAGTTAGTGCATACATTTTTCATACTGCCCCCCCGTGGGAAACGAACCCACAACCCTGGCGTTGCAAGCGCCATGCTCTACCAACTGAGCTACGGGGGGGGACTAGTGTTCAATGTGCACCTCATCCCAATGACCGTGCGTGGTTAGACATGAAAGTAGTACACAGTGGATACTAGGCCTATATTTACAACCAAAAACAATTGAAGCGTTACTGAAAACTTTGATGTTGGACTGCATTCAGACAAATGTTAAGAGATAGGCTGAATAAGTACCTCAGAGAGATTACAGATGACAAAGTGATTTAGCGAGGAAGGAAAAGGCAGTAGGCTAGTGCCCCCTCTTGGAAATGAGACTAGTTTCAGACCTCCTCGTCTATCTGCTGTCATCACGCCACCAAACATATTCACTTTAAATGACTTGTCAGAGGTAGTATTCTACTGGCCGTTGCCTCCGATGTCAATAGATTATGTCAATAGATACACCTTTCAATATCCTAATGTAAAAATATGACTAGTACTAAATCAACTGAGCTACAGTGCTCCTCCGTAGCTCAGTTGGTAGAGCATGGTGCTTGCAACGCCAGGGTAGTGGGTTTGATTCCTGGGTCAGCAGTACATAAAATGTATGTACACATGACTGTAAGTCTCTTTGGATACAAGCGTCTTCTAAATGGCATATATTATATTATTATTATATATATGAACTATTTTACAACAATGCGCCTCCTTTGTGATCAAAGAGGGGGGGATGGTAACCTTTAACCTAACTGCAGAAGTTGATGTCAGGGTAGTTGGCGCATTCTAACATAATATCCTAATGTTATATGACAATATGACTATATGAAACAGATCGTAGGTATCACCTGCAGAAGTTGATGTCAGGGTAGTTGGCGTACTCTGCCTTCCTGGCGTTGCGTCGGGGGAAGGTACAGAAGAAGGCGTTGGCCAATAGAGAAGCCACCTGCTCCTGAGACAGGGTGATGGAGTGGTTCATCCCTTCCTTCAGCAGAGGGATGGGCTGGGGAAAAGACAAGGATTTCTTGACTTGCATTTACATTTTAGTAATTTAACAGACGGTCTTATCCAGAGAGACTTAGTTACTTGATTTTTTAGTGGATTAAATGTGGAGTAGAGGTGTACATGTGGAGTATTGGAGTAAATGTGGAGTAGTGGAGTAAATGTGGAGTAAATGTGGAGTAGTGGAGTAAATGTAGAGTAGTGGAGTAAATGTAGAGTATTGGAGTAAATGTAGAGTAGTGGAATAAATGTGGAGTAGTGGAGTAAATGTGGAGTAGTGGAGTAAATGTGGAGTAGTGGAGTAAATGTGGAGTAGAGGAGTAAATGTAGAGTAAATGTAGAGTAGTGGAGTAAATGTAGAGTAAATGTAGAGTAGTGGAGTAAATGTAGAGTAAATGTAGAGTAGTGGAGTAAATGTAGAGTAGTGGAGTAAATGTAGAGTAAATGTAGAGTAGTGGAATAAATGTGGAGTAGAGGAGTAAATGTGGAGTAGTGGAGTAAATGTGGAGTAGTGGAGTAAATGTGGAGTAGTGGAGTAAATGTGGAGTAGAGGAGTAAATGTAGAGTAAATGTAGAGTAGTGGAGTAAATGTAGAGTAAATGTAGAGTAGTGGAGTAAATGTAGAGTAGTGGAGTAAAGGTAGAGTAGTGGAGTAAACGTGTAGTAGTGGAGTAAACGTGTAGTAAATGGCCAAAGCTGTGATTGAGGGAGGTCAATATCATTATTTTGGTCATTTATAGGCGCAGTCTGTGAATCCAAAAACACCAGGGTTTGTGATTGATAGGTTCATTCATTCCTTAAGGAGAAGGATCGACTTGGGAAAAGACAAGGGTGCGTATGAAATAGTATCCTATGGTTCTGGTCTAAAGTAGTGCACTATATAGGGCAGTGTTTCCCAACAGCACACATTTTATTGTAGCCCTGGACAAACTCACCTGATTCAACTCATTGAGGGCTTGATGATGATTAGTTGACAAGTTGAATCAGGTGAGTTTGTCCCGGGGGCTACAATAAAATGTGTGCTGTTGGGAGGACTGGAGTTGGGAAACGCTGACATTTCGAATAGGGTGTCATTTTGGAAGCAGACAAAGCGCTGATTAAGGGGGTCAAAACAATTAGTTTGGTGAGTTAAACAAGACAGCTGAATGATATGAATTAAATGAACTAATTTAGGCCCTACTTGTGGGATGTTTAAAATCAACCAGCATAGCCTTAATCACAGTCGAGGGTCATCTATAATCTATAATCTATTTAACTCAAGTAGGGCTAAATTACTAATCCGGATTGAGGGTTTGCAAATATACAACGCATTTAACATAAGTGGTAGTAATTTTGTTGGCATAAAATGTAACTGAGAAAGAGCAGTGGTAGGAGACTAATGTAGAATAGATGATACACATACTAGATCAGGTTCGTCCTAATCGGCACAAAGGCACCACGAGGACAGAGAATCAACCTTTTCACAAATTAGTGGTTAAGGAAAAATGATAAAGGTAGTTTTTTTGTTCCTTGTTCAAATCAAGAGAATACAAATGAGTCTCTGCACACCGTCCTGACTGCTGACATATCCACCACATAAATCAGAGAGCTAGATCGGCGCTAGTTCCCAATTTGGTGTTAGGCAGAGAGAGCAGTGGTCTAAGGCACTGCATCGCAGTGCTAGCTGTGCCACTAGAGATCCTGGTTCGAATCCAGGCTCTGTCGTAGCCAGCCGCGACCGGGAGACCCCATGGGGCGGTGCAGAATTGGCCCAGCGTCGTCCAGGGTAGGGGAGGGAATGGCCGGCAGGGGATGTAGCTCAGTTGGTAGAGCATGGCGTTTGCAACGCCAGGGTTGTGGGTTCAATTCCCACAGGGGGCCAGTATGAACATTTTTTTTTTTAAATTAATAATAATAATAATAATAATGTATGCACTCACTAACTGTAAGTCGCTCTGGATAAGTCATAAAATGACTAAAATGTAAAAATGTAATGGGGACCGAGCCCATTCGGCTTGGGCCCTCCATTAATCTCTGGTCCAGGCTGCTGCAGTACCTCACAGACAACCAATAGATTTCAAGAGGCTCTCTCTGAGGACCTCAGACGGCATTTCAATCCATCTCAGACTAGCTGGCTCCTTATGGCCAAGATAGCTCTAATCTGGGGGGCCCAGAATCCGCTTGAGTTATAGAATCTAGTGGTCTACGCAGAACGTACATGGTCTTTCTATTTTGGGGAGGTTCACTGATGCTCGTTTCAGGGATGGTCTGAACATGTAGCCTAAGGCTTGTCCAGTATACAGTATATCCCTTATACCCGGGGTATTTGGAAAAAGCCACAGGATGGTTTTTCAATATCGTCAATACCGTTGAAACTATTTCTTGAAAGTTTTTTTTTATATTTGTAGCAACTTTTAAGTAAATCCCTGCAGTCAACTTGTGCAATACCGTTAGGAGAAAAATAACATTGCATTCTTCATTTCACCTGTCACATAATTGTTCATTATGAAGCTTACGGATAGTCCCCAGTCACATGGTGTTTTGTTTACAAGCACACAATGAAGAGAGACCAGAGCCTTGTGAGTCACTCACTGTTGAGCAGCATGCGCCAGGTGATCCAATTACAGGATGGAATTCACAACTAAATGCTTGACAGCTAGATATCTTATAACTATTAAATTAACTTAATGCTCTGCAGTTGTGTATTTTGTTTGCTAATTTAGTAGCTAGTTAGCGATCTAGCTAAGTGGTTAGCTTCCTCCAAAATCAAGCATTCACTTAGTAACAGCAGAGAATCCCCTCCTGAATCAAGAGCCTTACTGTCTAATATTAGTTTTGTGGGTGCAGCAAACTGTGAGTAGCATTTTTGAGTTACTTGTATAGTTTAGGTCAGAGACTGTATAAAGTGTGCGCAATGCGCTCATTAGTATTTAGTTAGCATTCTCTATGGGATTTTACATTACTTGTTAGCATTGCTAACCATCGGATTACAGAGTATCAGCGGGGTTTGAAAACAGCGCCCCTTGTGTTCAGTGATGGTATTACCGAGTATCCCAGTATGGCACAAGGTCGGTATGAAGGTATGATAATCTGGATACCGCCCAAGTCTACTAAGGCCTAACATTAAATATGGAGCAAAGATGTTTTTGTGTGAGTTTTCTTTTTCTTTTCATTTTTTTAGGGGGGGGTTGACAGGGTAGATGGGGGGGGGGGGGGGTAGATGGGTGATTATGAATTATTGCACAACTGTTTATTATGTTATTGTGCAAAAAATAACTATAAAAAAATATTTTAAAAAACATACATTTTAATTATACATTTAAAAGCATACAGAATCAAACGAATCATATGTGAAATTATCCCTGCTATACTTCTTTCAAAAAGCATTTATCAAAAACCACATTTCAGTCCAAAGGCTTGTTTTTTTTTTGCATATTCCCCTGAGCTCAATCTTGGACTTCCGTCTGGGGAGCAACTTGATTACTGACTGCTTGGCCGACAGGTTCCGGACGGCCTGCTAATGAAAGTGTTCCGGCTGCAGATCTGCATTGTCCATCATGGGCTTGCATCCCAAATGGCACCCTAATCCCTATATAGTGCACTACTTCTGACCAGGGCCCATAGGTATCTATTCCCTATATAGTGCACTACTTCTGACCAGGGCCCATAGGTGTCTATTCCCTATATAGTGCACTACTTTTGACTTAAGCCCTGGTCAAAAAGTAGTGCACAACATCAAAAGCAGAGCACTATTTAGAGAAAAGCGTGTAATTTCAGGAGCAGCCTTGGTCTAACAGGCAGACCAGAAACCTTTGATAAGCGAACAGTAAGGCTGATACCCTGACCTCCCCCCCCCCCCCCCCCACCTTGACACCCTCTTTTCTCTGACCTTTTCGGTCCACTGTCCACCACAGGAGGCTGCTGAGGGGAGGACGGCTCATAATAAAACGGCTGGAATGGAGTGAATGGAATCAAACACCTGGAAAATATGTATTTGATGTGTTCGATACCATTCCATTCCAGCCATTCCCATGAGCCCCGTCCTCCCCAATTAAAGATGTCACCAGCCTACTGTGCTTTCCACAGTGTCAGTCAGTCAGGCCTACACTCTGTCCCATGTCCTATGTATGGAGTTACCTTGGTACACAGCTCAGACGCCCTCAGTACTCCTTTTTGATGGGAGTACTGAGGGCGGTCAACTGTAAGTGCTGTTATTGTGAAGTGGAAACGTCTAGGAGCAACAACGGCTCAGCCCGAGAAGTGGTAGGACACACACGCTCACAGAACGGGACCTGTGAGCGATTCAGAGACTACACGAGTGTGTGTGATGTTACCTTGGCATACGGCTCAGATACTCAAAATTGTGTCCTGTTTGAAGCTTGTGTGTCACGTAATACCACAGTGGGTACACAGGACTGCAGATGTAGTTACCTTGGTACACAGCTCAGACGCCCTCAGCGCTAATTGGACCATGTCTGGCAGCAGAGCCCCAAACAGATGTTCAACAGCATCAGCCTCCAGACCCTTTAGATAGAAGAAGGAAATAGGTTTGTTTATGTTAGTTCAACACAGAGAGCTCCGCTGTGACATTAGCCTATTGGGTTTTAAACCACGCATGATCAAAACAATAACAACCACACAGCCATACAATCTCCACAGACAAACATTGACAGTAGAATGGCCTTACTGAAGAGCTCAGTGACTTTCAACGTGGCACCGTCATAGGGATGCCACCTTTCCAACAAGTCAGTTTTGTCAAATTTCTGCCCTGCTAGAGGTGCCCCGGTCAACTGTAAGTGCTGTTATTGTGAAGTGGAAATGTCTAGGAGAAACAACGGCTCAGCCGAGAAGTGGTAGGGCACACACGCTCACAGAACGGGCACCGCCGAGTGCTGAAGTACGTAGCGCGTAAAAATCATCTGTCTTCGTTGCAACACTCACTGCTGAGTTCCAAACTGCCTCTGGAAATAACGTCAGGACAAGAACTGTTCGTCAGGAGCTTAATGAAATGGGTTTCCATGGCCGAGCAGCCGCACACAAGCCTAAGATCACCATGCCAGGCGTCGGCTGGAGTGGTGTAAAGCTCGCCGCCATTGGACTCTGGAGCAGTGGAAACGCGTTCTCTGGAGTGATGAATCTCGCTTCACCATCTGGCAGTCCGATGGACGGATCTGGGTTTGGCGGATGCCAGGAGAACACTACCTGCCCCAATGCATAGTGTTACATTTTTACATTTTAAATCATTTAGCAGACGCTCTTTTCCGGAGCGACTTACAGTTAGTGCATACATTTCTTATTTTTTTTCATACTGGCCCCCCGTGGGAATCGAACCCACAACCCTGGTGTTGCAAGCGCCATGCTCTACCAACTGAGCTACATAGTGCCAACAGTACAGTTTTGTGGAGGAGGAATAATGGTCTGGGGCTGTTTTTCATGGTTCGGTTTAGGCTCCTTAGTTCCAGTGAAGGAAAATCTTAACGCTACATCATACTATGACATTCTAGACGATTCTGTGCTTCCAACTTTATGGCAACAGTTTGGGGAAGGTCCTTTCCTGTTTCCAGCATGTCAATGCCCCTGTGCAGGTCCATACAGAAATGGTTTATTGAGATCGGTGTGAAGAACTTTAACTGGTTGGGGCATCAACCCCATCGAACAGCTTTGGGATGAATTGGAACGCCGACTGCGAGCCAGGCCTGATCGCCCAACATCAGTGCCCCGACCTCACTAATGCTCTTGTGGCTGAATGGAAGCAAGTCCCCGCAGCAATGTTCCGACATCTAGTGGAAAGCCTTTCCCAGAAGAGTGGAGGCTGTTATAGCAGCAAAGGGGGGGGGGGGGGGGACCAACTCCACATTAAACGCCCGTGATTTTGGAACGAGATGTTGGACGAGCATCCTATTGGTCATGTAGTGTACATAGAGGTCTGTATCATCTTTCTATCTGTTACAGAACGGGCAGCTCCATTTTAAAGCTCTACCAACTGAGCGACAGAGGACCACCATGTGGGTAGTGGACAAGTGCACACTTCAGGAAAAAGTGTAGAGTATTGAGATGCATAGCCAGCAGGGGGGGCTCCAACCCTCTAAGAGGCCAAACACTGACATCTATTTGGGCCAAAACGGTCTAATGCGCTATACTGCTGTAATGTACTGTACTATATTGTATTCTGCTGTACTCTACTGTGCTCTATTTTGCCAAAATAAAGATAGCTAAAGTGATCATTTAAACATTAACACAATTCATTAGATGCATAAGTAATTCAATCAAACAACACGTTTCATATTCATACCATCAACATTGAACATTTACAGAGAACAATAGAGATTATATTTCCCTAGATTCAATTTAAAGGTTTTGAAAATCAGGTTAAAATCCTGGTTTTACTATTTTGTTAATTTTAGTGTGCAAATACAATTTCTGTAATTAATCTGTAATAGAACGTTAATCAAAATGATCACTACTGTGCATTTTTCTCCCTTTATTTAAACTTGTTTCGGTAGTGACATATTTAGTGGGGTTGTAAGGAATTAAGGTTAATCTGTAAAATATGCAATACAAAGAGTGTGGGTGGTATATATGTCTACCTGGAAGACGTGTGCTGAAAGTCTGGGAAAAATATGATACAAATTAGATTATAATTTTTTTACACCCCCCAATTTGCACCCCTTCTGTAGAATGACCCGTATAGGCCTAAGTGCTGTTATTCTATCGTGGAAGATATTTACTACAATGTATTTATTTATAGCCGTTATTCAACCAGGTTTCAGGGAGGGAGCAAGAGGACTGGGCTGATTTAAACGCGGCTTCTTCCTGGAACAGATGCTAATGAGCCATGAGTGTGTATGTGCACGTGCACGTGCCTGCCTGCCTTTGTGCGTGCGCGTCTGTCAGTGTGTGCACGTCTGTGTGCGAGGGATAGGAAGTGTGTTCCCTTCCTGAACAGCGGGAGGGTAGAGACAGGGAGCCTTGACTGGCGATTTAAAACGTTGGGCCATAGGAGGGATGTTTATATTACAGCAAACAGGGCCTGACTAAACGCTGTCATAACTAATAACCTGGGGGATATCATAAAGGGTCCCTCTGGGCATAATGAATGAAGCAGGGCCTGATGGGTAGGGATGGGAGAAATGGGATATAGCTGAGCTAGCATTGCCCCGGGTTACCTCTAAATCACAGGGAGACAGTGCATCAAATCAACTGAACTAACACTGGCTGTATGACTTGAAACAGGTCTATACATCACATCAAACTGAAAGTCATCAAGAAAGAGGGGGCTGACGGAGAGCGGAGAGGAGAGGAGAGGAGAGGGGGATGCCGGAGAGCGGAGAGGAGGCTGCTGGAGGGCGGAGAGGAGAGGGGACTGCCTGAGAGAGGAGAGGAGAGGGGGACTGCCTGAGAGAGGAGAGGAGAGGGGGACTGCCTGAGAGAGGAGAGGAGAGGGGGACTGCCTGAGAGAGGAGGGGGCCGCCTGAGAGAGGACAGGGGGCTGCCGAAGATGGAGACAGATTAAGATTTACCACTACCTCTTCTCCACTGCTCTCCGGATATGTGACCGTGTAAAAATGAAAACACTTGTGTCCGCTCATATCCACCAATACCAGGGAGAGGTAAAGGAAAACAAATCTGATACTGTCGGTCACAGGCTTTTCTACTATTCATTAGATGTATCTTCTAGAATGAGTATTCTATGAGGGTGTCATCCAGATCATCCCCTGCCAGTCACCCTTACATCCCTCCATCTCCCCCTTTCACCCCTACATCCAACCCTCCTTCATCCCTCCCCCATCCCTCTCTCTCTCTCCCCCATCCTCCTCCTCTCCCATCCCACCCACCCTCCCCCTCCCACCCTCCTCTCTCCCCATCCCACCCACCCTCCCTCCCTCTCTCCCCATCCCTCCCTCTCTCCCCCCCCCCATCATCCCTCCCTCCCCCCTCAATCCCTCCTCCTCTCTCTCCCCCATTCCCTCCCTCTCTCCCCCCATTCCTCCTTCTCTCCCCCATCCCTCCCGCTCTCTCCCCCCCCCATCCCTCCCTCTCCCCCCCCCATCCCTCCCTCTCTCCCCCCCCCCCCCCCTCTCTCCAGTAAAATGGCCTTACTGAAGAGCTCAGTGACTTTCAACATGGCACCGTCATAGTATGCCACCTTTCCAATAAGTCAGTTAGTCACATTTCTGCCCTGCTAGAGCTGCCCCGGTCAACTGTAAGTGCTGTTATTGGGAAGTGGAAACGTCTAGGAGCAACAACGGCTCAGAGGCGAAGTGGTAGGACACACAAGCTCACAGAACGGGACCCCCCCCGAGTGGTGAAGCGCGTAAAACATCGTCTGTCCTCGGTTGCAACACTCGAGTTCCAAACTGCGTCTGGAAGCAACGTCAGCACGAGAACTGTTAGTCGGGTGCTTCATGAAATGGTCGAGCAGCCACACACAAGCCTAAAGATCATCATGCGCAATGCCGAGTGTCGGCTGGAGTGGTGTTAAGCTCGACGCCATTGGACTCTGGAGCAGTGGAAACATGTTCTCTGGAGTGATGAATCACGCTTTACCATCTGGCAGTTCGACGTTCTTTTACTTTAGATGTGTGTGTATTGCTGTGTATTGTTATATACTACTGCACCGTTGGAGCTAGGAACATAAGCATTTCACTACCACCCGCAATAACGTCTGCTAAATAGTATGTTACCAATACATTTGATTTGATTTGAATGGAAGCAAGTCCCCACAGCAATGTTCCAACATCTAGTGGAAAGCCTTCCCAGAAGAGTGGAGGCTGTTGTAGCAGCAAAGGGGGGGGGACCAACTCCATATTAACGGTCATGATTATGGAATGAGATGTTCGACGAGCACGTGTCCACATACTTTTAGTCATGTAGTCTATTTCCTATTTGTCACTGTAAGAAAATCTTAAATAATTCACTCTATAACGTGATTTATGACATAGTGTTTTGCAAATCAATTTGACAGGTTTAAGAATGGAATAATGCATTGTGTTTCTCTGTGAAGTCAGGCAGCTGTTTTCCTCATACTAAACACTACCTTTTGACGGAATGGGATTAAATGAGTTCTCTTGACTCCAGTTCCCCTCTGCATGTATAGCTGCCAACACAGCATTGCCACTCTCATACATACTGTACATATTATATCAATTACATTTTTCACTGCTACAATTCAGGCAGATTGATCCCATTTCCCTAGCGACTGTCAGCTAGATAGCAGGCAGGTGCTGATGTTATGTTTCTTTGGAGGGTCTCTCTGACTGGCTGGTCTGTAGTAGCATGGTCCTAGATGGGTTAGTGTTGTCTTGCCAACTCACGTTGTGATCGTCAGCAAGAGAGCACAAAGATCTGGAACCAAGCAAGGACTGTAGCTATAGCAACACAGCAAGAGAAAAGAGAGGGAAAGAGGAGAGAGGATAGATGGCCACTAGACAGGCCAGGTGCCAACTGGCGACAGATAAGAGAGAGAAGACAGAAAGAGAGGAGAGACAGAGACAGAGAGAGAGAGACAGGGAGAGAGACAGGGAGAGAGAAAGAGAGAGCAAGGACAGGAGAGAGCGAGAGATGCAGACAGGGAGAGAGCAGTAAAGAGAGAGAGAGAGAGGGAAGAGAACAGGACGAGACCAGAGATAGAACGAGAGACAGAGAGACAGCGGAGGAGAGAGAGGGAGAGAGAGAGATAGAGAGAGGAGAGAGACAGAGAGAGAAGAGAGCGAGGAGATCGAGGACAGAAGAGAGAGAGAAGAGGAGAGCAGAGAGAGGGAGACGAGAGAGAGAGAGACAGAGACAGGACAGGAGAAGGGAGACAGAAAGAGAGAGAGAGAGACAGGGAGAGAGAAAGAGAGAGAGAGAGACAGAGACAGGGAGAGAGACAGAGACAAAGAGAGACAGGGAGAGTGAGACAGAGACACAGAGACAGAGACAGAGACAGAGACAGAGAGAGAGAGACAGAGAGGAGTAGAGGATGTCCAGTTTGCCACTAGATAGAACAGACAGACCAGTGACAGAGCCCTAGCCAATAAGGCAGCTCTCTCATCACTGAGTGTATCCAGGTCTTCCCTGGGCTGCATAGCCCTAGCCAATAAGGCAGCTCTCTCATCACTGAGTGTATCCAGGTCTTCCCTGGGCTGCATAGCATCTCTCGTCCCTGTGTATGAGTGTATCCAGATCTTCCCTGGGCTGCATAGCCCTGTAAATGGCAACATCTATCCAAGACCCCATTGAGCTTCAGACCGTAAATAGGATAGTCCCCGAGAGTAAGTTATTCACAATTTACAGAGAATGAATTTAAAGCCATATAAACAAAAACAAAAAAAAAAGTGATTTTCTGCTTTAAACCAACCAAATGAATGACTATTTGTCTATTAGGATCCCCATTAAACTTTTGCAGAAGCTCCTCTTCACGGGGTCTACACAAAACATGACAAGTAACGAAACACTGATACACAAAAGGCAGTCACACAAATTTAAAATACACCGACAAAATAGTGTGCGTGTTAGTGTGTCCCCTCACAGTCCCTAACGTTCCATGAGATGTTATTTAATCTTTATTTTTTATTTATTTTTTACAAGCAATTTGTAGGATATTAAATATTAGTAGAAGACAGATATTGATAGAGCACTTATTAAATTTCAGCAGTGTATCACTTCAAAACTATTTCACAGGAAAATACATAGCTAAAAGTACAGCGTCCGCTGTATAACGGTTGCCGTCTTTAGAGAGGCACGTAGATGTAACCAGATGACTTACACAGCTGATAGGATCATTGGCAAATGAGCCATCTGTGCTGTGTCTGAACCTAGCCCAGAGCAGATCACTACAGGCCCGTGGTTTATGCTGGCCAATCCGACTGGTATATTCACGGGTACTAAACACTTGATTAGTTTAATAGGGGTTCTTAAAAACCTGATGTTGAGTGTGTGCGTGTGTGTTTAACTGATGAGGCCAGACATTATTTTATTTTCAGATGTCCTTGGACCCAGATGGTCCACCTGATGACTATATTTTTTTTAGGAGGTTGTTCATTAAAATCAATAACATTATTTCTTACCTTGTTGCAGAACAAATGAAGGGCTGTGAAGTCCCATCTCTTGGCATGAGCGACATTGTATTTCAATATGGCATTCTAAAATGGGGAATGCACACCAATAAATGTCATAAAACATGTTCAGCACATGCCTTTTTAGCAGTGTCTTTGCCTTGATTTCCGGGATCTTGGCGCCATCTCATGGCCAATTCAGGTAATAACATGTATTATTTCCACAATCATGGATTTGATGGATAGTTGTCTATCTAAAACACATTTGAACACCACATAAACATCCTTTCTCTTAATATTGCTAATAATGACTAATAACGATGCATCTGGTCAACAATAGACACTGTATATGTTAAATACATTGCTCCACAGTGAACAAACAGCATATCAATTTAGTCATTAACTTACCTTCACATCATGGGAGGTGCAGAAGACTCTGTTCAAAGCTTTCTGGATCAGTTCCCACCGTCCCTGCACCTCCTGCAAAAACAGGAAGTTAATCACCATCATCCTCCTCCTCATCATCATCTTTCCTGATCGTACTGTACAGGTCAGGCAGGGGTTAGGGGTCAGGGGTCAGTTCTTCCAAGGACGTGATATTGATTTGCATCATCGCAACACTAATGCCTTTATTAGTTTACCTGATTGATTGATTGATTGATTTTGACAGTAAAAAAAATTATATATATATATATATATATATATATATATATATATATATATATATATATACATACATACATACATACATACAGTGGGGGGAAAAAAGTATTTAGTCAGCCACCAATTGTGCAAGTTCTCCCACTTAAAAAGATGAGAGAGGCCTGTAATTTTCATCATAGGTACACGTCAACTATGACAGACAAAATGAGAAAAAAAAATCCAGAAAATCCCATTGTAGGATCTTTAATGAATTTATTTGCAAATTATGGTGGAAAATAAGTATTTGGTCAATAACAAAAGTTTCTCAATAATTTGGCAGTATGTCCAACCGGTCTCACAACCGCCGACCACGTGTAACCACTCCGGCTCAGGACCTCCACATCTGGCTTCTTCACCTGCGGGATCGTCTGAGACCAGCCACCCGGAGAGCCGATGAAATTGAGGAGTTTTTCTGTCTGTAATAAAGCCCTTTTGTGGGAAATAACTAATTCTGATTGGTTGGGCCTGGCTCCTCAGTGGGTTGGCCTATGCCCTCCCAGGCCCACCCATGGCAGCACCCCTGCCCAGTCATGTGAAATCCATAGATTAGGGCCTAATGAATTAATTTCAATTGACTGATTTCCTTAAATGAACTGTAACTCAGTAAAATCGTTAAAATTGCATGTTGCGTTTATATTTTTGCTCAGTTTATAAACATAGATTTTACTGATATGCCATTACTACAACAAATATAATCTGTTTAGCAAATATGAAGATAACCATGCATTTTCTTACTGTAAATTGACCAATATATTCATGATTGTGCTTTTGATTTATTCATAACAAATGTAACTTGTTAAAAAAAAAAAACGATGTGAATTGTGTGACTTTTGCTTCGGTCGTGTTCCCTTGCTCAGACATTGCTGCCGCGTGCTAGATCTTACAACGGCTGGATAGTTATTTTACACGTTAGCTAACCACATTATCACCAACTCAGTGGCCTTGTGATTAGAGCGTCCGCCCTGAGATTGGAAGGTTTGTGAGATCAATCCCTGGCCGAGTCATACAATAAGGCTGTAAAAAAATGGGACTGGATGCATCTCTGCTTGGCAATAAGGAGATTAGGGGGTCAGGCCCTGCGCCAGACTAGTGTCCTGTCCAGGGGGTATACTTGTACATCAAGCTACAGAAGTAGGTCTATTTACTAACACATCATATGTTATAGCAATCTGACGGCGCAGGCGATGACATGGCACGCCACCATTGGTTGACGCATGTAACATCTGAGCAGGGCAACGTGACCTTTGTGCTCGATAAAGAGATAATAACAGAGTGGGTTATGTTGCCTGTACTTCCATTTTGAGCCGTATCTGCAGTCCCACAGCGAGAAATGTTCCCACAAACGGTTCTACCACAGCGCTCTCTTACTCAAATTGAGAATTTTTTTTCCAGAAAATCACATTGTAGGATTTTTAATGAATTTATTTGCAAATTATGGTGGAAAATAAGTATTTGGGATCAATTCCCACCGTCCCTGCACCTCCTGCAAAAACAGGAAGTTAATCACCATCGTCCTCCTCCTCATCATCATCTTTCCTGATCGTACTGTACAGGTCAGGCAGGGGTTAGGGGTCAGGGGTCAGTTCTTCCAAGGACGTGATATTGATTTGCATCATCGCAACACTAATGCCTTTATTAGTTTACCTGATTGATTGATTGATTTTGACAGTTTAAAAAAAAAATATATATATATACACATACATACAGTGGGGGAAAAAAGTATTTAGTCAGCCACCAATTGTGCAAGTTCTCCCACTTAAAAAGATGAGAGAGGCCTGTAATTTTCATCATAGGTACTTTAATGAATTTTTCCATTGTAGGATCTTTAATGAATTTATTTGCAAATTATGGTGGAAAATAAGTATTTGGTCAATAACAAAAGTTTCTCAATACTTTGTTATATACCCTTTGTTGGCAATGACACAGGTCAAACGTTTTCTGTAAGTCTTCACAAGGTTTTCACACACTGTTGCTGGTATTTTGGCCCATTCCTCCATGCAGATCTCCTCTAGAGCAGTGATGTTTTGGGGCTGTCGCTGGGCAACACGGACTTTCAACTCCCTCCAAAGATTTTCTATGGGGTTGAGATCTGGAGACTGGCTAGGCCACTCCAGGACCTTGAAATGCTTCTTACGAAGCCACTCCTTCGTTGCCCGGGCGGTGTGTTTGGGATCATTGTCATGCTGAAAGACCCAGCCACGTTTCATCTTCAATGCCCTTGCTGATGGAAGGAGGTTTTCACTCAAAATCTCACGATACATGGCCCCATTCATTCTTTCCTTTACACGGATCAGTCGTCCTGGTCCCTTTGCAGAAAAACAGCTCCAAAGCATGATGTTTCCACCCCCATGCTTCACAGTAGGTATCGTGTTCTTTGGATGCAAGTCAGCATTCTTTGTCCTCCAAACACGACGAGTTGAGTTTTTACCAAAAAGTTCTATTTTGGTTTCATCTGACCATATGACATTCTCCCAATCCTCTTCTGAATCATCCAAATGCACTCTAGCAAACTTCAGACGGGCCTGGACATGTACTGGCTTAAGCAGGGGGACACGTCTGGCACTGCAGGATTTGAGTCCCTGGTGGCGTAGTGTGTTACTGATGGTAGGCTTTGTTACTTTGGTCCCAGCTCTCTGCAGGTCATTCACTAGGTCCCCCCGTGTGGTTCTGGGATTTTTGCTCACCGTTCTTGTGATCATTTTGACCCCACGGGGTGAGATCTTGCGTGGAGCCCCAGATCGAGGGAGATTATCAGTGGTCTTGTATGTCTTCCATTTCCTAATAATTGCTCCCACAGTTGATTTCTTCAAACCAAGCTGCTTACCTATTGCAGATTCAGTCTTCCCAGCCTGGTGCAGGTCTACAATTTTGTTTCTGGTGTCCTTTGACAGCGCTTTGGTCTTGGCCATAGTGGAGTTTGGAGTGTGACTGTTTGAGGTTGTGGACAGGTGTCTTTTATACTGATAACAAGTTCAAACAGGTGCCATTAATACAGGTAACGAGTGGAGGACAGAGGAGCCTCTTAAAGAAGAAGTTACAGGTCTGTGAGAGCCAGAAATCTTGCTTTTTTGTAGGTGACCAAATACTTATTTTCCACCATAATTTGCAAATAAATTAATTAAAAATCCTACAATGTGATTTTCTGGAATTTTTTTCTCAATTTGTCTGTCATAGTTGACGTGTACCTATGATGAAAATTACAGGCCTCTCTCATCTTTTTAAGTGGGAGAACTTGCACAATTGGTGGCTGACTAAATACTTTTTTTCCCCACTGTATGCTCGCTTTGAGGCAAGTAACACTGAAACATGCATGAGAGCATCAGCTGTTCCGGACGACTGTGATCACGCTCTCCGTAGCCAATGTGAGTAAGACCTTTAAACAGGCCGCAGGGCCAGACGGATTACCAGGACGTGTACTCTGAGCATGCGCTGACCAACTGGCAAGTGTCTTCACTGACATTTTCAACCTCTCCCTGTCTGAGTCTGTAATAGCAACATGTTTCAAGCAGACCACCATAGTCCCTGTGCCCAAGAACACTAAGGTAATCTGCCTAAATGACTACCGACCCGTAGCACTCACGTCTGTAGCCATGAAGTGATTTGAAAGGCTGGTCATGGCCCACATCAACACCATTATCCCAGAAACCCTAGACCCACTCCAATTTGCATACCGCCTCAACAGATCCACAGATGATGCAATCTCTATTGCACTCCACACTGCCCTTTCACACCTGGACAAAAGGAACTCCTATTTGAGAATGCTATTCATTGACTACAGCTCAGCGTTCAACACCATAGTGCCCTCAAAGCTCATCACTAAGCTAAGGACCCTGGGACTAAACACCTCCCTCTGCAACTGGATCCTGGAGTTCTTGACGGGCCGCCCCCAGGTGGTAAGGGTAGGTAACAACACATCTGCCACGCTGATCCTCAACACAGCGGCCCCTCAGGGGTGCGTGCTTAGTCCCCTCCTGTACTCCCTGTTCACTCAAGACTGCATGGCCAGGTACGACTCCAACACCATCATTAAGCTTGCGATGACAACAGTGGTAGGCCTGATCACCAACAACGACGAGACAGCCTATAGGGAGGAGGTCAGAGACCTGGCTGTGTGGTGCCAGGACAACAACCTCTCCCTCAACGTGATCAAGACAAAGGAGATGATTGTGGACTACAGGAAAAAGAAGAGGACTGAGCACGCCCCCATTCTCATCAACGGGGCTGTAGTGGAGCAGGTTGAGAGCTTCAAGTTCCTTGGTGTCCACATCACCAACAAACTGACTGGTTGCATCACCGCCTGGTATGGCAACTGCTCGGCCTCCGACCGCAAGGCACTACAGAGGGTAGTGCGTACGGCCCAGAACATCACCGGGGCCAAGCTTCCTGCCATCCAGGACCTCTATACCAGGTGGTGTCAGAAGAAGGCCCTAAAAATTGCCAAAGACTCCAGCCACCCTAGTCATAGACTGTTCTCTCTGCTACCGCACGGCAAGCAGTACCGGAGTGCCAAGTCTAGGTCCAAGAGGCTTCTAAACAGCTTCTACCCCCAAGCCATAAGACTACTGAACATCTAATCAAATGGCTACCCAGACTATTTGCATTGCCCCCCCTCCCCCACCCACGCTGCTGCTACTCTGTTTATTATCTATGCATACTCACTTTAATAACTCTACCTACATTTACATATTACCTCAATTACCTCGACTAACCGGTGCCCCGGCACATTGACTCTGTACCGGTACCCCCTGTATATAGCCTCGCTATTGTTATTTTTACTGCTGCTCTTTAATTATTTGTTACTTTTATTTTGTATTATTTCATATTGTATTTCTTTGTGTGATTTTTTTTGGTATTCTTTCTTAAAATTGCATTGTTGGTTAAGGGCTTCTAAGTAAGCATTTCATTGTGAGGTCACTACACCTGTTGTATTCGGCGCATGTGACAAATAAAAATTGATTTAATTTGATAGAGCTTGAAAAATTCTGAAAAGAATAATGGGCAAATGTTGTACAATCCGGGTGTGCAAAGCTCATAACGACTTCACTGCCAAAGGTGATTCTAACATGTATTGACGTAGGGGTGTGAATAGTTATGAAAATGAGATATTTCTGTATTTCATTTTCAATAGATGTTCTAACATTTCTACAAACATGTTTTCACTTTGTCATTATGGGGTATTGTGTGTAGATTGGTGATCATTTTTATTTATTTAATCCATTTTGAATTCAGGCTGTAGCAACAAAATGTGAAATAAGTCAAGGGGTATGAATACTTTCTAAAGGCACTGTAGATCAGCTCTTTCCCTAATGGTGAGAGATGTAAGCCGGAGATAACTTTTTAAGTTGTAGTTAGTGAGTCCAATTTCAACATGACAGTACAACGTGTAGCTTCGGTACCTGATTTCCTACTGGGAATAGGCTGCTCTCTGAACAGGGCATTTTCACATGGTCCTCATCCCAGATGTCTCTGAACTTGGTGGGATAGGGAACAGGAACTTTGCCTGCTTGAAGGAGGTCTGTCTGTTGAAGAGAAAATACAGCATGATGAGTACATGAATGGCATCACCAATGGAGGTCCTCCCATTCATCCCACTCCAGATGACGATGATGATGAATCACGTGTTTTGCTAACTTTCACCAATTAATAATTAATAATGCACATGTGTTCATCATACTTTGTCCTTACAAAGACAAAATGTTGAGACCAGGACTATTCTAGCACAAATCAAGGCTTAGACCACAGGTGTCAAACTCATTCCACGGAGGGTCTACTGCAAGGATCGACTAGATTCCACGGAGGGTCTAATGCAGGGATCAACTAGATTCAGCGGAGGGTCTAATGCAGGGATCAACTAGATTCACCGGAGGGTCTAATGCAGGGATCAACTAGATTCAGCGGAGGGTCTAATGCAGGGATCAACTAGATTCAGCGGAGGGTCTAATGCAGGGATCAACTAGATTCAGCGGAGGGCCTACTGCAGGGATCAACTAGATTCAGCGGAGGGCCTACTGCAGGGATCAACTAGATTCAGCGGTGGGTCTAATGCAGGGATCGACTAGATTCAGCGGTGGGCCGATTTATTCTTTAGCGGATGGTCAGGGGGCCGGAACATAATTACAAATAATTTGTAGACTGCAAATTGACCACAAGAAGACCAAACAGATATAACATTTAACTAAAACATAATCATTTCAAACCTCCCTTACATTTGTATATTACATTACATTTACATTTTAGTCTTTTAGCAGACGCTCTTATCCAGAGCGACTTACAGTTAGTGAATACATTTTTTTTTTTATACTGGCCCCCCGTGGGAATCGAACCCATAACCCTGGCGTTGCAAACGCCATGCTCTATCAACTGAGCTACATCCCTGCCGGCCATTCCCTCCCTTACCCTGGACGACGCTGGGCCAATTGTGCGCCGCCCATGAGTCTCCCGGTCGCGGCCGGCTGCGACAGAGCCTGGATTCGAACCAGGATCTCTAGTGGCACAGTTAGCACTGCGATGCAGAGCCTTAGACCACTGCGCCACTCAGGAGACTATACGATCACATATTATTACTATATGATCACATATTATTACTATATGATCACATATTATTACTATATGATCACATATTATTACTATATGATCACATATTATTACTATATGATCACATATTACGCGTGGGAATATTTTGGAACAGATTTCCAAAATTAAAATCAGTTGGAGCTGATTTGTTTGTGTATTTAGTATTTTCTGTCCAACAATTTAATTATATATATTTTTTTTTTTGCTCCGAAAATGTGGGGGGGCCAAATAAAACCATTCGCGGCCAAATTCGGCCCACAGGCCGCTAGTTGGGGAACCCTGGTCTAGTATCTGCTGGTTTTTACTCTTCACTTGTACCTGGTTGTCTAGGTCAATGATTAGTTAGGAACTCCCCTCACCTAGTTGTCTAGGTCAGTGATTAGTTAGGAACTCCCCTCACCTAGTTGTCTAGGTCAGTGATTAGGTAGGAACTCCCCTCACCTGGTTGTCTAGGTCAGTGATTAGGTAGGAACTCCCCTCACCTGGTTGTCTAGGTCAGTGATTAGTTAGGATCTCCCCTCACCTGGTTGTCTGGGTAAATGATTAGTTAGGATCTCCCCTCACCTGGTTGTCTAGGTAAATGATTAGTTAGGATCTCCCCTCACCTGGTTGTCTAGGTCAATGATTAGTTAGGAACTCCCCTCACCTAGTTGTCTAGGTCAGTGATTAGGTAGGAACTCCCCTCACCTGGTTGTCTAGGTCAGTGATTAGGTAGGAACTCCCCTCACCTGGTTGTCTAGGTCAGTGATTAGGTAGGAACTCCCCTCACCTAGTTGTCTAGGTCAGTGATTAGTTAGGAACTCCCCTCACCTAGTTGTCTAGGTCAGTGATTAGTTAGGAACTCCCCTCACCTAGTTGTCTAGGTCAGTGATTAGGTAGGAACTCCCCTCACCTGGTTGTCTAGGTCAGTGATTAGGTAGGAACTCCCCTCACCTGGTTGTCTAGGTCAGTGATTAGGTAGGAACTCCCCTCACCTGGTTGTCTAGGTCAGTGATTAGTTAGGATCTCCCCTCACCTGGTTGTCTGGGTAAATGATTAGTTAGGATCTCCCCTCACCTGGTTGTCTAGGTAAATTATTAGTTAGGATCTCCCCTCACCTGGTTGTCTAGGTCAATGATTAGTTAGGAACTCCCCTCACCTGGTTGTCTAGGTCAGTGATTAGTTAGGAACCAATTGAACACAAATTGAAAGGAAATAACAAAACCAGCAGACGCTCAGCCCTCCATTGAGTTTGAAACCACCGGCTTTGACTAAAGGAGTTTGACACCACCGGCTTTGACTAAAGCATTCAATTTTCCAAGGAGCTGCCCTCTCTCTCACCCTGATCATGACAGTGTGATGGTCAGGAGCATTCTTCAGTGGTGGGAGTGGTCGACCACACTGCGGCATTCTCCTCAGATCGCTGATGGGGCTTCCCAGCCACTTGGAATCGTACGGTGGCGACGGTGGTGGAGGGACATCATCTCCGTCTCTGTCTCCACGTTGTTTCTCACGTGGGACGTCTCCATCTCTGTGTTGTTTGTCCGAAGGAGCTTGGGCACTGTCACATTGAAAAAGAGAAACAACTTTAACACAACCCACTGAAGAAAGAATACGCAATTGATCAACAACATGATGCAATGAGCAACAGGGTTTATAATAAACATCTTAATAAGACATCAGAACACTCCCCAATAGTCTCCCTTTTGACATTGATCACTTGTAGAGTCACAACAGACACCCCAGAGAGGAGCATGTTTATCTGGCAGTAACAGGAACACAGTACTATCATGAATACTATGATTAAGATTCAGTCAGGCTAATAGTGAAAAAACAATAATAAAAAAAAAAAACTTCACAGCTTTCCCTGAAACAACTACTGTTGAAAATACTTCAAAAGGTCAACCAAGAGACACGAGCATGCTGAGGAGACAAGAGCCGGATGCCAAGTCCACTCATATCCTTACGGATCTTTGCTTACAATCAATAACAGGAGTAACCTGCTTCATGGCTTACACATAGGCCTAAGTAACTTTAAAAAGTCTGAAGTGAAGTATATCGGCGTGGGGTGTCTGTGGGTGGCTTTTGACCATTCCTTTGGATTCCTCGTGTCCAACTCATTGTTAGAAAAACGTTTGGTCCAAATCGGATGTCAGGTACTATATTTATTGAATATAATCTGAATCCTATTAATAGACGTTGTATTAGACCTAGATGTTGTGTGTATGTACTGACATGTAGGCTATGTGTGACGTTTTAAATGTATGTATTTCAGTCCTTGACTAATAATGTTCTGCACTAAACTCAGCTAAAAAAGAAACGTCCCTTTTTCAGGACCCTGTCTTTCAAAGATGATTCCTAAAAATCCAAATAAATTCACAGATCTTCATTGTAAAGGGTTTAAACACTGTTTCCCATGCTTGTTCAATGAACCATTAACAATTAATGAACATGCACCTGTGGAACGGTCGTTAAAACACTAACAGCTTACAGACGGTAGGCAATTAAGGTCACAGTTATGAAAACTTAGGACACTAAAGAGGCCTTTCTACTGACTCTGAAAAACACCAAAAGAAAGATGCCCAGGGTCCCTGCTCATCTGCGTGAACGTGCCTTAGGCATGCTGCAAGGAGGCATGAAGACTGCAGATGTGGCCAGGGCAATAAATTGCAATGTCCGTACTGTGAGACGCCTAAGACAGCGCTACAGGGAGACAGGACGGACAGCTGATCGTCCTCGCAGTGGCAGACCACGTGTAACAACACCTGCACAGGATTGGTACATCCGAACATCACACCTGCGGGACAGGTACAGGATGGCAACAACAACTGCACCAGTTACACCAGGAACGCACAATCCCTCCATCAGTGCTCAGACTGTCCGCAATAGGCTGAGAGAGGCTGGACTGAGGGCTTGTAGGCCTGTTGTAAGGCAGGTCCTCACCAGACATCACCGGCAACAACGTCACCTATGGGCACAAACCCACCGTCGCTGGACCAGACAGGACCTGCAAAAAGTGCTCTTCACTGACAAGTCAAGGTTTTGTCTCACCAGGGGTGATGGTCGGATTCGCGTTTATCGTCGAAGGAATGAGCGTTACACCGAGGCCTGTACTCTGGAGCGGGATCGATTTGGAGGTGGAGGGTCCGTCATGGTCTAGGGCGGTGTGTCACAGCATCATCGGACTGAGCTTGTTGTCATTGCAGGCAATCTCAACGCTGTGCGTTACAGGGAAGACATCCTCCTCCCTCATGTGGTACCCTTCCTGCAGGCTCATCCTGACATGACCCTCCAGCATGGCAATGCCACCAGCCATACTGCTCGTTCTGTGCGTGATTTCCTGCAAGACAGGAATGTCAGTGTTCTGCCATGGCCAGCGAAGAGCCCGGATCTCAATCCCATTGAGCACGTCTGGGACCTGTTGGATCGGAGGGTGAGGGCTAGGGCCATTCCTCCCAGAAATGTCCGGGAACTTGCAGTTGCCTTGGTGGAAGAGTGGGGTAACATCTCACAGCAAGAACTGGCAAATCTGGTGCAGTCCATGAGGAGGAGATGAACTGCAGTACTTAATGCAGCTGGTGGCCACACCAGATACTGACTGTTACTTTTGATTTTGACCCCCCCTTTGTTCAGGGACACATTATTCAATTTCTGTTAGTCACATGTCTGTGAAACTTGTTCAGTTTATGTCTCAGTTGTTGAATCTTGTTATGTTCATACAAAATATTTACACGTTAAGTTTGCTGAAAATAAATGCAGTTGACAGTGAGAGGACGTTTCTTTTTTTGCTGAGTTTATGTATTATGTCATGTTTCATGTGGACCCCAGGAAGAGTAGCTGATGCTTTTGCAGCGGCTAATGGGGATCCTAATAAATACCAAAAAATTGACAATTTTGATGCACTCAATTAGCTTCCTTTCTCAGAGATCAAATTATATTTCAACAAATTAATGTTGCAGGAATGCAAATCTTATCTGTTTCTAACAACATAAACGATTTCAGAATAATCTGAGATGGTGGCTGTCGAAATCCTCTTGTACTTTTTGAGGTGGAACGACCCAGGACACAGAATTATCAGGTCTCGAAAACTGACTCAACCTGCTGGTACCACCTCTGTCTCAACCTGCTGGTACCACCTCTGTCTCAACCTGCTGGTACCACCTCTGTCTCAACCTGCTGGTACCACCTCTGTCTCAACCTGCTGGTACCACCTCTGTCTCAACCTGCTGGTACCACCTCTGTCTCAACCTGCTGGTACCACCTCTGTCTCAACCTGCTGGTACCACCAATGTCCTATCAACCAACATTTGTAATGAAGTGGGTACCCTATATGTAATTGAGCATGCCTAGCCTATATAATCTTGAGATTCAGGAAGTATGACTTTGTACTATGCCCTTGTATCTACAGTGGCTTGCGAAAGTATTCACCCCCCTTGGCATTTTTCCTATTTTGTTGCCTTACAACCCAGAAAACTTGGCAGGTCCTCTCTTGGCAGGTTTGCTGTGGTGGCATATTATTTGTGGGATGTTCAAAGTTTCGGATATTTTTTTATAACCCAACCCTGATCTGTACTTCTCCGCAACTTTGTCCCTGACCTGTTTGGAGAGCTCCTTGATCTTCATGGTGCCGCTTGCTTGGTGGTGCCCCTTGCTTACATTTACATTTACATTTAAGTCATTTAGCAGACGCTCTTATCCAGAGCGACTTACAGTTAGTGAATACATTTTTTTTTTTTTATACTGGCCCACCGTGGGAATCGAACCCACAACCCTGGCGTTGCAAACGCCATGCTCTATCAACTGAGCTACATCCCTGCCGGCCATTCCCTCCCCTACCCTGGACGACGCTGGGCCAATTGTGCGCCGCCCATGAGTCTCCCGGTCGCGGCCGGCTGCGACAGAGCCTGGATTCGAACCAGGATCTCTAGTGGCACAGTTTGCACTGTGATGCAGTGCCTTAGACCACTGCGCTTAGTGGTGTTGCAGACACTGGGGCCTTTCAGAACAGGTGTATATATACTGAGATCATGTGACACTTAGATTGCACAAAGGTGGACTTTATTTAACTAATTATGTGACTTCTGAAGGTAATTGGTTGAACCAGCTCTTATTTAGGGGCTTCATAGCAAAGCGGGTGAATACATATGCACACACCACTTTTCCGTTATTTATTTTTTAGAATTCTTTGAAATAACTTGTTTTTTTTTCCATTTCACTTCACCAATTTGGACTATTTTGTATGTGTCCATTACATGAAATCCAAAAACAAAAATCTATTTAATGCAACAAAATAGGAAAAACGCCAAGGGGGATGAATACTTTTGCAAGGCACTGTAAGATGTGGCCTAGTTGCTCTTGCATATTTGAATGTAAAACACATTTACCCAGAATTTAGTCTTAAATGGGTTACTTCCACTGCACCAGGGACTCCTCTTTCTCCCTACAAAGTCAACTCCTGAAATTATTGGTATTCAATACTGTACCTTGTGGATGGGGCTTGTGGCAACTTTCTGGCATAGAAGTCTGTTATTTTTCCTTTACCCTTGGATGAGGAGGATCTTTCTGTGTCCTGCTGCTTGTCCAGTTCCCTGTTGCTTTGGCTCGTGGTCTCCTCGGTTTGCTCATCACTGTTCCCTGTATGATCTATGGAGACTTCCGAGACAGGCTTGTGATCTGTGGAGACTTCCGAGACAGGCTTGGGATCTGTGGAGACTTCCGAGACAGGCTTGGGATCTGTGGCGACTTCCGAGACAGGCTTGGGATCTGTGGCGACTTCCGAGACAGGCTTGGGATCTGTGGCGACTTCCGAGACAGGCTTGGGATCTGTGGCGACTTCCGAGACAGGCTTGGGATCTGTGGCGACTTGCGAGACAGGCTTGTGATCTGTGGCGACTTGCGGGACAGGCTTTTGATCTGTGGCGACTTGCGGGACAGGCTTTTGATCTGTGGCGACTTGCGGGACAGGCTTGTGATCCTTTAGGCTGTAAGTTGGTGTTAAGGGCTCTGTCTCTTCATCCTGCAGGTCTATGGTGCTACAGACAGCAGGTTCCTCAGAGTCTGAACTGTGGGTCTGGGCCTGGGTCTCTGTCTCCATAGACTGGAAGGGGTTGAACTTGTGACTGCAGTCAGAATCAGAGCTGTCTGGACTCAGCATCTCCACGTCGTCCTGTTGTTGTTGTTGTTGTTGTTGTTGTTGTTGGTGTTGTTCAGCAGCTTCAGACATGTCAGAAGCTGGGCTTGTGGGGCTTTGGGAACGGTTCAAAAGCCACTTATCAAGGTTATTCTGTTGGGACTTGGGATTGTTTTTCTGACTAAGAGATGTTGCTTTGGCACCATGCTGCTGCCCTTCCATTGCGTGTAGGCTTGCCTCTTTTGAACTTGCTAAGGGAAAGGACACAAAAGACAGAATGAGAATCAACTTGGATCATAACTTGATTGGTAAGTCATAGGCTACACTCAATATAGGCAATATATCAATATATACCGCAAACACATCAAACAACAAAAATAACACAAATATATGGACATGTCTGCTGTACCCAAAATGGTGGAGTTATGTCACGCATGCAGCTAACAAAAATATATGGAAATGTCTGCTCTACTCAAAATTACAACCAACTAATTGCAGCATTACCACAAAAATGGAAGAGGCAAGTGGAAGGGGGAAAAGTAAGGAAGTTGTCTGTCGGCCCTGCATTAAAGACCAAAATTGCTTAAAGAAAATTGTGATATATAAAAAAAAATTATATATATATATATATATATATATATATATATATATACCAGTTTCATTTATGGACCAAAAAATGGGCAGCTGTGGCAAATAGATTGCAAAATAGTTTGGAAGAGATTTTCGATGTACCGATTCCATCGCATATGGTTTATGAACTGATAAAGTTGCTTGCGAAAGTTTTCACCCCCCCTTGGCATTTTTCCTATTTTGTTGCCTTACAACCTGGAATTAAAATGGATTTTTGGGGGTATGTATCATTTGACACTTAAGATTGCACAAAGGTGGACTCAATGTCAACAGTGAAGTGGCGACTCCGGGATGCTGACCTAGGCAGAGTTGCAAAGAAAAAGCCATATCTCAGACTTGCCAATAAAAAGAAAAGATTCAGATGGGCAAAAGCACACAGACACTGGACGTTTTCTTTGCAACTCTGCCTAGGTCAGCATCCTGGAGTCGCCTCTTCACTGTTGACATTGAGACTGGTGTTTTGCGGGTACTATTTAATGAAGCTGCAAGTTGAGGACGTGTGAGGCGTCTGTTTCTCAAACTAGACACTCTAATGTATTTGTCCTCTTGCTCAGTTGTGCACCGGGGCCTCCCACTCCTCTTTCTATTCTGGTTAGAGCCAGTTTGCGCTGTTCTGTGAAGAGAGTAGTACACAGCGCTGTACGAGATCTTCAGTTTCTTGGCAATTTCTCGCATGGAATAGCCTTAATTTCTCAGAACAAGAATAGACTGACAAGTTTCAGAAGAAAGTTATTTGTTTCTGGCCATTTTGAGCCTGTAATCGAACCCACAATTGCTGATGCTCCAGATACTCAATTAGTCTCAAGAAGGCCAGTTTTATTGCTTCTTTAAATCAGCACAACATTTTTCAGCTGTGCTAACATAATTGCAAAAGGGTTTTCTAATGATCAATTAGCCTTTTAAAATGATAAACTTGGATTAGCAAACGCAAATGTCCATTGCTCGGCCCAAGCAGGTGTATTCTTATTGGTGTCCTTTAGTAATGTTTCTTTGCAGCAATTCGACCATGAAGGCCTGATTCACACAGTCCCCTCTGAAAAGTTGATGTTGAGATGTGTCTGTTACTTGAACTCTGTGAAGCATTTATTTGGGCTGCAATTTCTGAGGCTGGTAACTCTAATGAACTTATCCTCTGCAGCAGAAGTAACTCTGGGTCTTCCTTTCCTGTGGCTGTCCTCATGAGAGCCAGTTTCATCATAGCGCTTGATGGTTTTTGCGACTGCACTTGAAGAAACTTTCAAAGTTCTTGACATTTTCTGTATTGACTGACCTTCATGTCTTAAAGTTATGATGGACTGTTGTGTCTCTTTGCTTATTTGAGCTGTTCTTGCCATAATATGGACTTGGTCTTTTACCAAATAGGGCTATCTTCTGTATACCCCCCTACCTTGTCACAACACAACTGATTGGCTCAAATGCATTAAGAAGGAAAGAAATTCCACAGATTAACTTTTAAGAAGGCACACCTGTTAATTGAAATGCATTCCAGGTGACTACTTCAAGAAGCTGGTTGAGAGAATGCCAAGAGTGTGCAAAGCTGTCATCAAGGCAAATGGTGGCTATTTGAAGAATCTCAAATATAAAATATATTTTTGATTTGTTTAACACTTTTTTGGTTACTACATGATTCCATATGTGTTATTTCATAGTTTTCATGTCTTCACTATTATTGTACAATGTAAAAAATAGTAAAAATAAAGAAAAACCCTTGAATGAGTAGGTGTGTCCAAACTTTTGACTGGTAATGTATGTATATATATATATATATTAATACACAATTACATTGATGGAAGCTACAATCTATCAGCAACATTAAAATATATATACACATCAAACTCAAACTGAACTGGAGATAAAAACCTCCAGTCAGATTATGCAGAGAATGATTTATCTTCCCTGCTCAGGGAGTGTTACCTTTGAAAGCCAATGAAAGAGGGCTCCTTGAGTTGACAGGTGATGGGAGGCCAACTTCAACCCGCAGTCTCTTTTTAACAGGCTCCAAGTCTGACAATGCAGTCATGCTACAAGATAGAGAAAGAGCACCAGATGAGTGAGGGTACCAGAAATAGAAGAGCATAGTTAGAATAGATGCAGAGTCCTGGAGGTCTGTTGATAAGCCATATAGCTAACGTCAGCTAGCTATTTAACACGACCAAGTATTTGGTTGTCCATAGTCCATACAATCATTGCCAGCTAGCTGTTGCCATGTCTTTGTACTGTAACTAGCTTTAAAGAAAAGTGTATTTGGTATGCATACTCACAATACAACCTCATTCAGTAATACCACCGAAGCGTTTTGGTAACGATGGTTCCAGAATGGTTTCACACAGAGTCCCCTCCTCAGCAGGCTAGTGAATAATATCATATGGCTTGCAACCATATGACAGTGAATCTATAACTAGTTTAACAACACAAAATAAATGTTGTATGTCCAGCCAGTGGCCGAGGTCTCCGGTCTGACAACCAACGCCTGATAGTTAAAGGTAGTATCTAACGTTAGTTAGCTAAACGCTAACCTTAGCTTTACAGTTTTACGTTGTTGTCATGAGCGTTTTTACTTGAACATCATGTACCAGCTAGTACAACAACCTCGTTTTACAGCTGTTGTGAGGTTAGTTTATTCTTAAACCAAAGATATTAAATAAACACGGTTTCGACAGTAACATACCACAAAACAGACGTGTCATCTTCTCAGCAACAAAACAAAATCACTTCCGGGTCACAGAATTTTGGAACATTTCAAAGTAAAAGTACTTTTAGAAAAGTGTTTTAAAAAACCCAGTACTTATTCATAATACAGTGCCTTCAGAAAGTATTCACACTCCTTGACTTTTTCGAAATTTTGTTAGGTTACAGCCTGAATTTAATATTGATTCAAATGGATTACACACAATACCCCATAATGTCAAAGTGGAATTATGTTTTTAGAAATTAATTTTAAAAAATAAAAGCTGAAATGTATTGAGTCAATAAGTATTCAAACCCTTTGATATGGCAAGGCTAAATAAGTTCAGGAGTAAAAATGTGCTCAACAAAGTCAAATAATAAGTTGCATGGACTCACTCTGTGTTCAATAATAGTGTTTCAAATTATTTTGGATTGACTAACTCATCTCTGAACCCCACACATACAATTATCTGAAAGGTCCCTCAGTTGAGCAGTGAATTTTAAACACAGATCCAACCACAAATATCAGGGAGGTTTTCCAATGCCTCGCAAAGAAGGTCACCTATTGGTAGATGGATAAAAAAGCAAAAAAACATTGAATATCCCTTTGAGCATGATTAAGTTATTAATGACACTTTGGATGGTGTATCAATACATCCAGTCACTCCAAAGATACAGGCGTCCTTCCTAACTCAGTTGCCGGAGAGGAAGGAAACCGCTCAGGGATTTCACCATGAGGCCAATGGTGACTTTAACATTTGTAAGAGTCTATTGCCGCAATCTAAGTAACACAATAAAAATATCCCCATCAAAATCAGTCATTTTAAGCTAGAGATTCACCTTCCGCATCTGCGGTGGAAGGTGGCCGAGCTACAGCGGTGTTTCTCAGACCATGAGACATCCCGAAAATCGGTCTTCTCATGAAAATGTCTGAACGGTTTGGCCTACAAACTAATATGACCCCATTAGGTAAAGGGAAGAGACTCTCACGAGCATGATGGTGTTCTCCAAGTTTCGCATAGGTGTCACGGGACTCGTCTGTCACGCCCTGGCTCTGGGGACTCTTATATGTTGAGCCAGGGTGTTAGTTTATATGTGTAGTGTCTATGTTTTGTTTTCTATGTGTTCTTTTCTAGATCGTGTGTTTCTGTGTTGGCCGGGGTGGTTCCCAATCGGAGGCAGCTGTGTCTTGTTGTCTCTGATTGGGAACCATACTTAGGCAGCCTGTTGTGCACTTGTCATTTGTGGGATCTTGTTCAGTATAGGTTTGTGTTGGTGAACCTTTTGACTTCACGTATCGTTTTGTTGTTTTGTTGTTTTGTTGTTTTGTTGTTTTGTTGTTATTGTTAATAGTACTCATTAAAAGATGTACGCCTATCACGCTGCGCCTTGGTCCGTTGCTTACGACGATCGTGACAGAAGATACCACCATACAAGGACCAAGCAGCGTGTGCAGGAGCAAACGCCGGGTAAGGAGCTGGAAAGGTTGGCGATGGCCCAGGTGGGCCAATGGTGGTCCTGGGAGGACATGTTCGCGGGCAAAGGGCCATGGGCTAAAGTTAAAGCCCTGGCGAGAGAGGAGGTACGGTGCCAACAGTGTCGTCGTCGGACAGGCGAGAGGCAACCCCAAGAAATGTTTTTGGGGGGGCACACGGCATGGACGACGGGGCTGCTGGAGGCAGCTACAGGGCGAGATTGTGGACTAGGAGAGAAGGCCACCAGGTTACGGGGGCCATTGGTCATTAGATGGAAGGAGAGTGTAGAGGCATGGCGAGAGGTACTGGGGTGTGTTACCAGTCCGGTCCGGCCCGTTCCTGATCCCCGCACAAGGCCAGTGGTGTGTGTTCCCAGTACGGTCCGGCCTGTTCCTGTCCCTCGCACCAAGCCTGTGATGCGCGTCGCCAGCCCGGCCCGGCCTGTTCCTGCCCCTCGCACCAAGCCTGTGTTGCGCGTCGCCAGCCCGGCCCGGCCTGTTCCTGCCCCTCGCACCAAGCCAGTCGTGCGCGTCGCCAGCCCGGCCCGGCCTGTTCCTGCCCCTCGCACCAAGCCTGTGGTGCGCGTCGCCAGCCCGGCCCGGTCTGTTCCTGCCCCTCGCACCAAGCCTGTGGTGCGCGTCGCCTGCCCGGCCCGGCCTGTTCCTGCCCCTTGCACCAAGCCTGTGGTGCGCGTCGCCAGCCCGGCCCGGCCTGTTCCTGTCCCTCGCACCAAGCCCGTGGTGCGCGTCGCCAGCCCGGTCCGGCCCGTTCCTGCTCCCCGCACCAAGCCAGTAGTGCGCGTCGCCAGCCCGGTCCGGCCTGTTCCTGCTCCCCGCACCAAGCCAGTGGTGCGCGTCGCCAGCCCGGTCCGGCCCGTTCCTGCTCCCCGCACCAAGCCAGTGGTGCGCGTCGTCAGCCCGGTCCGGCCCGTTCCTGCTCCCCGCACCAAGCCAGTGGTGCGCGTCGTCAGCCCGGTCTGGCCCGTTCCTGCTCCCCGCACCAAGCCAGTGGTGCGCGTCGCCAGCCCGGTCCGGCCTGTTCCTGCTCCCCGCACCAAGTCAGTGGTGCGCGTCGCCAGCCCGGTCCGGCCCGTTCCTGCTCCCCGCACCAAGCCAGTGGTGCGCGTCGCCAGCCCGGTCCGGCCCGTTCCTGCTCCCCGCACCAAGCCAGTGGTGCGCGTCACCAGCCCGGTCCGGCCCGTTCCTGCTCCCCGCACCAAGCCAGTGGTGCGCGTCGTCAGCCCGGTCCGGCCCGTTCCTGCTCCCCGCACCAAGCCAGTGGTGCGCGTCGTCAGCCTGGTCCGGCCCATTCCTGCTCCCCGCACCAAGCCTGTGGTGCGCGTCGTCAGTCCGGCACAGCCCGTGCCTGTTTCACCGGTGCCTGGTCAGGTACCGGTCAGCTGCTCCACACCGGAGCCTAAGCAATCCGCTCCACCGATGTCCAGTCCAGCTCCAGCCAGCGGGACCAGACCAGGGGCGCTACGGGGGGTTAGTTAGAGGGTGGTGGTCACGCCCAGAGCCGGATCCGCCTCCGAGGCGGAATGCCCACCCGGCCCCTCCCCTGTTGGGTTTAGTTGGCGCGGTCGCAGTCCGCGCCTTTGGGGGGGGGTACTGTCACGCCCTGGCTCTGGGGACTCTTATATGTTGAGCCAGGGTGTTAGTTTATATGTGTAGTGTCTATGTTTTGTTTTCTATGTGTTCTTTTCTAGATCGTGTGTTTCTGTGTTGGCCGGGGTGGTTCCCAATCGGAGGCAGCTGTGTCTTGTTGTCTCTGATTGGGAACCATACTTAGGCAGCCTGTTGTGCACTTGTCATTTGTGGGATCTTGTTCAGTATAGGTTTGTGTTGGTGAACCTTTAGACTTCACGTATCGTTTTGTTGTTATTGTTAATAGTACTCATTAAAAGATGTACGCCTATCACGCTGCGCCTTGGTCCGTTGCTTACGACGATCGTGACATCGTCTGAAGGTGACCCATACAAACGAATGGAAGCATGGAGGTAGTTTTATGCCAACAAAAATAAGGGGTTAAATATGTATCCAAAAAAAAACTAAAATATTTCCTGAACTTTCTTATATCTCCTAGATACAGGACAGACACTTCAAAACCTTATTCCTTATGATTTATTTTTTGCCTCTCTTTTTTTGCCATTTATGAATGTGTTATTCAATGCGTTTCAATGGGCTATAGTAGTAAAGGCCTAATTAAATATTTAATTTAAAAATATATATATATATATATTACTCTTCATATTTTCAAGCATGGTGGTGGCTGCATCATGTTATGGGTATGCTTGTCATCGGCAAGGACTAGGGAGTTTTTTTAGTATAAAAAGAAATGGAACAGAGCTAAGCACAGGCAAAACCCTAGAGGAAAACCTGTCTGTCTGCTTTCCAACAGACACTGGGAGACCAATTCACCTTTCAGCAGGACAATAACCTAAAACACAAGGCCAAATATTCACTGGAGTTGCTTACCAAGAAGACATTGAATGTTCCTGAATGGCCAAGTTACAGTTTTGACTTAAAGCAAAGCAGCTTGAAAATATATGGCAAGACTTGAAAAGGGCTTTGTAGCAATGATCAACAACAAACTTGACAGAGCTTGAAGATTTAGAAAAATAATAATGTGCAAATATTGTACATACCAGGTGTGCAAAGCTCTTAGACACTTAACCAGACCGACTCACAGCTGTAATCACTGCCAAAGCTGATTCTAACATGTATTGACTCAGTGGGTTGAATACTTATGTAATCAAGATATATTAGTGTTATATTTTTCCATTTTGTTTTTTACAGACGTTAGAATTTTTATTCCATTATGACACTAACGAGCATTTTGTGTAGATCGGTGACAAAAAAGGACAATGAAATCCATTTGAATCCCACTTTGTAACACAACAAAATGTGAAAACATCAAGGGGTGTGAATACTTTCTGAAGGCACTGTTAGTTAGTTTTTTTTTAGGGGGGGGGGGGTTAAGAAAACTAAAATACATTGTAGAAACTAGATATTACTAGACATAGCCTTCATATAAGTTACGTGGCATTTATTTAAAACAAAAAATACATTTTAGAAACTAGATACAAACAGACGTAGACTTCATATAGCCTTCTGTGTATTAGTGAAAAGTAGCCTTCTGTTTCCCTGCCAATTAGTAAACAGCTGTTTCCCCGCCAATGTGTTTGCCCCTAATGTGGTGTTGGGACCGCTTGAGTAAGAGA